CATCAACTTTTCATGACACAGTCATTAATTTAAAAAGTGACTCACAATTATTAGGCTCTGTACCTCACAAGCCTAGCTTTGGATTCAGCTGGCTTCTGAAAAGGGCTGAACACCTTGTCCCCAATCTCAGAACCCCTGGTGGTTCAAAGCCTAGCACAATGTACGCAGTCTCCATTGTTTTCCTTGTGACTCTCCAGCTCTGTCCTTAATTACATTCATTTATTCCTAATTACATCTATTCATTTCTGTTGTACATGGTAGGTCTCATCTAACCTCAACCTGAGCCATGCAGATGACGCTGAGTTTCCACATCATGCAGAACCTGACCTTCAAGCCTTTTCTAATATTCTAGTTATTAGACACAGCTCTAAAAGATCATCTAAGCTGAAATGGCTTCCTAGTTATTCCACTCTAGTCACATTTACTCGTGTTCCAATGTGAAGGGCACTTCTGACCTTCCTCTCTCCCACAACTTGATGAATCCACTCCTGACAACCTTACTCGGGCCTTCCTCCAGACACAGTGCTAGTTCTCAATCTTTGTACATCTCACACACACACACACACACCCAAATGATGCTACTTAGAACAGCTCTCCTGTCATGAAACGGAACGTCCATCACGTCCCCAGCACCTCACCTCTAGTACCACTTCTGTAACAGTTCTGACTACTGCTCTTCACTATGGGCTCAAATCCAACGCTTTAGCCTTCTGGCATTGTTTTACAATCTGTTACCTCACCTCCCGCAACACGTCTAGGTACGTTTCTAGTTTAGTCATTATGGTCTCCTTAACACTCAGAAACTACTCTGTCCATCTCCCATGCCACTTCTCCCATCCAGAAGACATCCTCCCTGATTCTTTACAGTTCACCTGACATTTGACCTTTCTCTCGCTGGCCTAACTGGAAGCACTCTTACAGAAAGCTATCTCCTCCATCTGCAAAATCAACTTGAAACACTAAAATGCCCGGGGAAACTGAGTCCAAATGCTTTCCTTTCTGAACATTCCTTTCGTCACATTTTTATTGTTTCCTGTAGGCTGGTTGTTGTGCTAGCCACCTGGGCTTAGAGCTCAGTGAGAATGCTTGCAGTCATCCCAGTGACAAATAATGCTCACGAGTACTACAAACCATGAACAGGATGAAGCGACTGCAGACGGAGCCAGCTGTGAGCGCGGTCTACAGAGAAAACCACCCAGGCGTTCATTCAGTTAGGTAAGAGGAAAGGGCTTCTCTAAGTTAGGGAAAGTCTTTTAAGCAGGGACGAAAGAATGAGTAGAAGTTAATTCTGTAGAAAGACAGACAGGTTCTAAGGCAGAAGAACCCAGAGAGAGAGCTTTCCAAGCAGCTAAAAGGTGAAGATGATGGCAGAGAGGGTGTCTGTACAGCCAAGGTGGGACCAGAACATGCTTGGACTTGAAGGTCATGCTCAAAGTCTGAAGTTGTATCCTAAGATGTGGGAACAGTATGTCCCAAGATACTTCAAGTCAGGACCACAACTAACCCTAGAATGCGTATGAACAGAAAATGATGAAATCAGTTAGAATTCTGGTTTTATTAAAACATATGTGCTTTCCACTCTTTTTTTTTTTTTTTGTCTGATCCAAACTTGAAGAAGGGAAAGAAGAAAAAGAAAGCTTATGAATTATACATAAGGCCAATTTTCAGATGTTTCACTTGGCTTTGAAAAGAAGTTGTGTGTGTGTGTGTGTGCGCGTGAGCATGTGTACAATTGAGAGACCATGGGTAGCTGTGGAGACGGTGTTTGCCCTAAGCATTAGGACCTGAGCTCAGAACCTAGAATCAACATAAAGCAGCACACATCTCTAAACCAGGATTTGAGAAGGCAGAAATGGGAAGATCGCTGTGCTGTCCAGTCTGTCCAGCTGAATCATCAAGGCAGGGGGAAGGAAAGGCGGCTTAGAGGTGAAGAGCTCTTGCGGCTCTTGCAGAACTGAGTTTGGTTCCCAGCACCAACATGCAGCTCACAACCATCTGTAACTACAGTTCCCCAGGAGGCCTAATAGCATGCATGTGGTGCACATACGTATTTGTCGGCAAACATTCATACACACAAAAATAAACACGTTTTTTAAAAAAGGCAGATGGCTGTGGTGGTTTGAAGAAGAATGGCCCTGTAGGCTCCTACATCTGAATGCTTAGTTACCAGGGGGTGGCACAATTTGAAAGGATCAGGAGGTGTGGCCTTGCTGGAGGCAGTGTGTCACTGGGCTCTGAGGTTTCAAAAGCCCACGCCAGGTCCAGGCTGCCCCTCTCTGCCTGTGGATGAAAAGGCAGCTCTCAGCTACACCAGTGCCATGTACCCACGAGGAAAATGACGGACTGAGCCTCCGAAACTTTAAGCAAGTTCCCAGTTAAATGCTTTCTTTTCTGAGAGTTGCCTTGGTCATGGCGTCTCTGCACACAGCAACGGAAGTGACTGAGACAGTGACTCCGTGGGTAAAGGTGCCGGCTGCACACGTCTGGCAGCTTGAGTTGGATCCCCTGAATCCACCAACAGGTTGAAGGTCAGTTGTCTTCTGACCTCCACATGTGGATCACAGCACATGGGTCATGGCCTCCACGCATACATGTGTAATAACAAAAGCATTTTTTAAATGAGGTGTAGAGCAAATGAATAAGACCCATGTCAAACTCTGGCCTCTACACGAATGCACACACGAACATGCCTGTATGCACACAGTCATAGCAATGAAAGAAATAAGGGCCAATTTTAATATTTTAAAAAATGAAACAGTCCAGAAAGTATCAATAAAACGAAAAGCTCCATTTCTCTGTTGCCATGCTCCACCTGAAACTCGGGTCAAATGTTCATTCTCCTGTCTTTTTTCCGTAAGGTCTCCCATAAGGGAAAATAGTTTACAAAACAAACAAAATACTTTCCCATGACTAATTTACATTGCTCCTTAGTCTCACTGTCTATTTCAAACTGTGATTATGAACATGAGTTATTTCCTCCCAAACTGCAATTATGTATCAAGGGTAAAGCCAAAGGAAGTCCCAGTGACAAGTTACAAGAAGGACAGGACCTAGAAGCTGGTGCCCAAGCCCGACATAGGCACTTTGATCTCAGTATTCCACTGGCAGAGGCAGGAGAATCTCTGTGACTTCGAGGTCACTGGTCTACATGGTGAATTCTAGGACAGCCAAGTCAACATAGAGAGACCCTATCTCAAAAAAAAAAAAAAAAAAAAAGGCAGTGGGGGCCCAAGGGGTTCTCAGGACACCATTATCTATGTTTCCCAGTGGGAAACGCTGCTCAACTCTAGTTCAGTTCATCAATGGTCTTCTTATATCAGGAGTTGAAACTAGGGAGTCCGGGTGAATAGAATCCTAGTCTATTGTCCTGGGTGGAGGTGCCAACCAAATCAATTGCTGCAATAAACCAATTAATCCATTATCATAACTGAGCTGCACAGAAAACACAACATGACGTAGATCATCCCATCCAGTATTTCAACATGCTCTTGTGTTAGGAGTCATTCCTGCACAGATGTGTTTGAATTGAGGTGTGAAGGCCGGACAGCTGGAGCACTTAGATCATTATTTGTATCTACAAACAACGTCAAGAAAACACATTAGTACACCCACATGTGTGTGCCCACATGCATATACCACGCATGAAAACAAATTTCTAAAAAATAAGACTAGAAAAGTTGAAGCTGTAAGAGTCACCAACTTCGGGAAGAAATCATAAAAATATCCACTGTTCTCTAATTTGGAATTTAACACAAGAATGTAGAAATTTTTAGTATGGTTATTAACATGCATCCTCAAGTAGCTGGGAGGGGCAATGAGGAGGGGGAGCATGTCCTTTGACTTCACATACAGGGTTAAAACCCCTCCACTTGGGATGAGTTTTTTGAGTATTCCTTGAATACAAATAAATTACTCTGGGCTCGGAAATGAGCACACCCTAACTGACTGATAAATGTCATTGTATCTACTTTAACTTTCAATAGTGACTTCAGATTTAGCTACAACTAGAAGAATCCTGAAAGATTATCAGTAGTATTAGTTTATAAGGATCAGAAAAGAAAGTTATTAGTTAAGAGGAACTAGGAAATATTGCCCAAACTCCCCAATAACAAGTTAGATTTGCAATATTTAAGTTAAGGGGGAAATACATGGCATCAACTTAAGAGAAAACATTGAAAGCATTGAGACTACCAGCCACATCCAAAATGCATTCTTTGAGCAGTTTACACCCGGAAAAGCTTGCTTGCATCAACTCCTCCACCCCCCATTAACTTTAAATTAGCTGATACATAAGCTACAGCTTACACTAAATTTCTGTCTGGTTTCCAAGAATAGTCTTCTTCCTTTTTTGAGCGGGAGAGGGTAGATTGTATGAGTGAGTGAGTGAGTGAGTAAGTAGTGGTAGAGGGGAAGGAGGAAGGAGGGAGAGAGACGGGGAGGGGGGCGAAGAGAGGGGGGGAAGCTGCGTTATTTCATTGTAAATGTCACAAGCGTGCTTCTATATGTCAACCCTGATGAATGTTGTGAGATCTTCAAATTATTTGACAATGTTTCTTTAAAGTTTTGCACTAATTCATTTCTGCCAACGTCTTGGCAACATGTAATCTTTTCCGCGATAAGAAAGGCCCTTTTAACTCATATTGACATTGTCACAGAATACATGTGTGCAAGTTTTGGCTGTCAAACCTCATAAGGGTGGATTTGGGCGCGCGCTCACTCTGCACAGGCGCGCCTACACTTAGCTTCCCTTTTCCTAGCGCCCACCTACTCATCCCTTCTCTCCTTGCAAGTTTGAAACTTTGTTTTCTCCGGGGTACAGAACAAGCGCTACCAATGTCCTAGAGACAAAGCGGCTGAGCTGGGGTTTAACGGGATGCCCAATTTTAGTTGTGAAACAAAGCCCGCAAATCTGAGCCCCAGGAGGAGGTGGTGCATCCCGGGCGGGCCGGGGCCGGGGATCGCCGCGGCCGCCGAGCCCCCGCGTGCCCCGATCTGCTCACCGCTTCACGCGGATGATCTGGTCCCGCATGGGCTTGATGTCCTGGAAGCTCTGCTGGTTGACCAGGCTGTAGACCAGGATGAAGCCCTGGCCG